GTTTAGGGTGTAAGGTTTGGATTTAGGGATTTTAGGGTTGAGGATATTTGGTAGCTTCCCAGAATAAGGGAACCCCTAGGGCCCGACATACTTAATCTCATTAGCGCCCCCAAAAAAGTAACCCTGATTTGGGGAAACCCTCAAATAACACAGGATGGGATGCCTTTTACCCTTCTACTCACGCCACCTTTTCGCAAGCCAGCCCACGTACTTGCCAGGGCTCAAAAAAATGTGGCCTTTAACTAGCTTCAGGAGGAATGGCCCCAACTTCAGACTATAGTCCCGTATATGGGGATCTTCTTTTAACATGCCCCAAGCCATATTCTATCTACTTAAGAGGGGCTACATGCTCAAGACCTGGGGCTCTACACTCCGCTGCACTTGCCAGCAGAGCATCAGGGGATACATCGTCGGAAATCTTATGGCGGCTTGGTGGGAATGTTTAAACGGATCCATATCCGGCCAAGTGTCCTTCCCGATTAACACCAAAATCATTGCACTGCGTCTGCATGGTACATCCTATATGCAAATTATCCTTATTGTAATGAACTTTGCTTTGATGAATCTTGGCTTCCTCTGACGGCGACGGCTACCACGACCTGCTGCCGCTAGTGCTCCTGCCCCCGCCCGGACACCCCAGCAGCAGCAGCAGCAGCAGCTCATCACCACGGGTTTCAGGCACTACTTAGTTCCTCCTAAGACTACTACTGCAATTTGTATGATGGTGACCCTAAACCCTATATAAACCCTAAACCATAAACTGTTATTGTCATCTCTTGTTCTTCTGCTCAGAGAGCACCTTGACGGCCAGGAGCTTGATACTTTCCGGGTCGGTCCTGAGCTGCTGGGTGAGGTTTAAGGCTAGGTTCTGGCATGAGGTTCAAATTTGGGTTTGGGTTTGGGGCTTGGGGTTCAGGGTAAACCCCTAAACTCTAGGGTTTAGGGCAGCAAGTTGGACAACGAGGGGAACAGGTCCTTGACTGTACAGCGCGGAAGCTTACGAATAAACATTGCGTCTCTGAACAGAAGGCGGGCTTATTTGAGCTATAGTTTAGGGTTTAGGGTTTAGGGCTAGTCGAAACTCCTGATATCTCCCTTAATAACCCCTATAATGCTCCCCTACAGATTCCCCTGAATAAGACACCTTTAAGGAGTCTAGACCATATTTATCTTATTGGATGGACATCCTGAGGAGCTGCTGACATGCCGATTCTGCGCACCCTAGTTGATCAATACTAGTAATACAAAGAACCTTACTGGCTCTTAGTAGGGAATGGGGGATTATATTCTATAGGGGATAATATATGGATTGCATGGGGACATATATAGGGATAAAATAGGAATGTTATACAAAGAACCTTACTGGTCCTTAGGTGGGAATAGCGATTAGATTCTATAAGGCGTTATATAGGATTGCATAGGGATCATATAGGGATTATATCGCCTACTTCCCTACTAAAAAGCCAGTAAGGAACTCCGGTAGCAATCGAAAGCTGTAGACTGTCATGGAGGGTCTTGAAGGCATAGTTGCGGCGACCATGTTCTGGCAATATGATCCTACTACACAGTGCTTAAATGAGTGGCTGAACCAAGTAAATCTTCGAACATGACAAGAAACACAAAAAGACCATATATACTCTAGATCTTGGACTGTAACGTCCCTATCTCCACTCCAAGCCCTAAACCCTAAACCCTAAACCCTAAAATAGGGTGTCCTGAAGAAAATAACTCGACTGAGCTCGACACCTCGGTGTGTGTAAGGCGCGCTGGATCTCTGCAAACACCTGACAGTCCACTCTCTCCCCGCAGCAACCCAAAACATTATGTAGAGGTATCCGATATAGTATAGGGTTGGGGGTTAATTCCCATCTCCAAAGGGACATAGCATAATAACATAGACCCGCCCACGGACTCCCAACCTCCTAAACCCTGTATGGGTAAGTGGGTAAGTCGCGCGTTCTTTTTTGGACTGTGTGCGCTGGGGGTTTGTTCATGCGCGCGGCTCGCAGACCAAAAACAACAAGCAAGAAAAGGGGCATTTGTTTTTGGCGCGCACGTGGCCAAAAGTCTCGCTCGACGCCCTTCCAGCGAGCATGCGTGATTTCGGAGCACAATTAGAAGACGCTCCACGCAACAAGTGCGATGTTGGGCCAAAATAGCTAAGTTATTCTCAGTATTATGGGCCCCTTTTGGTTATGAATTATATTGCGGCACCTACGTAATATTTAGGGGTACCAAAATGGGACCCCAATTTTGGGAACTACCCAATTGATGCCTCACGCCAATGGAAAAGTGGAGGGTTCGGCAGGCCGAACAGTTCTATGTCCAGGGCCTGGGTTCTCGACATCGACTCGTACATGAGCATATGAGCCATGTCCTAAACTCCTTTTAATAGCCGCTATAAGACTCCCTTGTATAATTCCCTACATAACGCCCTTTCAGGAGTTTAGACTATAACTCATATGCAGCTTGATTCCATATTCACGGGCACCGCATCTGCGTCCGGCTCTTCCAGGAATCTGGGCTTCGGTCAATGCCGCAAGACCAAACTCCAAGGCATCCTAGCGCTTAAGATACAAGGCCCAAGAAAAAGTTCCTCACCAAAAAACTGGGTTGCTGTGAAAGAACTTAAATAAAGCTACCATAATGGGGAAAAAAAAGTACGTAATGTGCCCCCAATATAGTAACTTAAATTAAGTTCCTTAACAGCAACCCAGAAAAGGGGTCCGTGAGGTTCCTGCTAGGAGGCAACCTCTGCAAGTTGCAAAGCGGAGGCAGGGAAGCGAAAGCAAAGAATCTGAATAGACTGGGTTGCTGTTAAGGAACTTAATTTAAGTTACTATATTGGGGAAACCCTATTATTTACTATATGTATATACACCCATTATGGTAACTTAATTTAAGTTCCTTAACAGCAACCCAATAGACAGCTCGTGCCTTGCACTTCGATCTGCGGCCTTATGCCGCGTGACCAGTCAGGTTGACTTATCCGCTCGCATGCCAATCCAACAGGAGTTCTGCAATCCCTAAGGGATCCCAAAAATGTAGGGTTTTGGGTTTAGGGGTCCAAAAAATGGAACCCCCTAATAATCCCCTAGTTACCCCAATGTGGCAATGGGTTCATATTGGGGAGGCCACTGACGCAGGTCTTTGTGTCCGGCGCTCTGGATTCGTTTCTTCGGATAGTCGTGAAGCGGGCCGGCCACGAGTACCAATGGCAGCACAAGTTCAGCTTACTGGTTCTTGGTATTGATTACTTAGGGAAGATAATCCTATACAAGCCCTACATATTGTATTGCAAAAATATATTCCCTACTAAGAACCAGTAAGTCAGGATCCGAGGGGCTCAAGGACCTCTCTCATTGGAAGAAGCAGAGGCAACCATGCGAGCCGCTTAGTGGCAGCGATACCCTGCTAACCTATCCTCAGGAATCGACGGGGGATTGACGATCATAACTTCTCGGCCAGCACCCATAGAACCTGTTGAAAGTAGCAGAAAAAACTCGGGAAATGGACCCCAAACCCCAACAACAAGCCCCGAGCAGGATGTTTGGCTCGCGGATGCAGGCTGTCCCGAGTGGCTAAATTCACTTGCTACATTCCGCCGTGAGGTGAAAGGGCTTGCTGGCATTCCTTTTGTTAAGAGGCATGCGCAGACATGACAGCATGCTGGTTCAGCATGTCTCGCGCAGAAGACGTGGGAGGCGCGAGGGCCTGATGCTCCTGGATATGTCGGCAACAAACACGGGAAAACCGTACGCATGTGCATGAACCATCCGATGTAATGGAAGGCATTGAAGACATGGAAGAATCGGAGGACATTTCACGCGACAGTGTTATGTTCGACAAGAAAGCGGATGTTACAAGGCAGAGCATGATCATGATTTAGCTCAAAAACACTGCGCGCTGGAGCACCATTTTGAAACACAAATGTGAAGACACTCCAGGCGAGAACTTGATTTCGAACCAAAAACTGATGAGATGTTGCACACAAGAACACGACTTGCAAACTGTGAGTACACTTCGATTTCGAACTCTCGCACAAGGGCAGGGACGTGCGGGCGGCAAAACAAACAACTCATTGTTTTAGCGCGTGCGCGGGGCACCTGTATTTTTCCCTCGCGCGCCTGTTACTCACCCACTTACGTCCTTGGCTTGCATCTGTGGCAGGGCGCCTTTTTTTTGAGCGTGCGGGGGCTGCATAGCAACAGATGAAGAAAAACACGTGTGTTTTCCTGCAGCTCCCCAAGCAAAAAATATTTACTTCGAACGCCCCCACCCTTGCATGGCATCATCAACTATTCCAGCAACAGTATTGTGCATGCTTCAGCAAGGTAATTCTAAAACGTTGTTCCAGCTAGCAGACATAACACCTGTACATTAGGAGGACCCCCCACCCTGTAATATTGGTATAATGGGAATATAAGAGGACCCTAATATAGTTACTACTATCCCTTATAGTCACCATTACAGGGTGGGGGGTTCACCTAACCTGTACACTCCAAGCGCTACAGTTTGGATGGTGGAGTGGCTGGCGTGTGAGGCTTTCATTTTCATGGTACCCCCCTAAGCCCAAAACCCTTAACCCTCATTGCTTTGGGGTTGGGCACTCCAGGGATACGCTAAAGTTGGAGAACTACAGGGAACCTCTGGGGTACTTTGGGTTGGGCACAGCAGGGATACTCGGTGGCTGTGCAGGCTGTGCACTCTGCGGTTGGGCACTGCACGGCGGAGGGTGAGGAGAACATGGACTGCTTAGCATTGAACAACCCGCGGGTAGGGAGGGGAAAAACTGGGTTTCCACCCTTTATGTGGGTGAACGGCACGGCGCTTAGCAGTAAAAATGTTCTAAACTACTGGGTAAAGGCATCACTTTGTCACTGCTCCCCACGCTCCATTCCACTTGCCTGGGTCCTAGCTCGAAGCCATCAAGCCCCTACAGCACAAATATGAAACCCCGTGTCAACTGACCTGAGAGGGTCGTCCCAAAAGGTGTCCGCCTGTGCTCGACGCTTCTCGGCTGGGAGGTTGACGCTGCCTGCTGAAGAAATTCATGAAGGTGGGGGCAGGAAAGATGGGGTGGTGGCAGTGGTGGCGGCAGTAGCAGAGGTAGAAACGGTAACAACAGCAGCAGCCCCACAACGAATAGCAGCCATTGCAGCAACAACAGCAGCAGCCCCGCAGCAGTATGACGATGATAAAGCTTCTGATACATTTAGATCATGACAAGCGTACCATACTAGAGCTTGAGAAGGTTAAGCACGCTTTACAATCATGATTGTTAGGCTGCGCTGGCGCTGAGCCATTTTTCAGGACCCTAACATTTTCAACGTCGGATGTTGGCTTGCATCTAACTCTTGGTCTCAATTTTTACTTGGCGGCCCACGATAATTATAGCCCCAACTAAAAAAATGTCCTTCTAGCCCAAGTATCAGCCCCCTAAGTCCGCTAACATGGTCATCAGTTGGTTTAACTACTTGGAGCCGGTGAATGATCCCTATAATCCAGGAAGTAAAATTAAGTGCACCTGATCCTCCGAGCACCCTACAGTAAACCTCCAAGGGGCCCCGGTAGAGGCGTTAGTGCTGTCGCCAGAGAATCGTGGACTCCCCTCCGGGGTGGCCCAAAATTAGTGTACTCAACCCTAAACCCTAAACCCTGAAATGCTACACCCTAAACCCTACACCGTAATAAACCCTAAAACCCCTACATCAGCCATAATCAGCACTAGTTATCCTTAGATGCCAAAGTAAGGGGCTCGGAGGGGGACAGTATGGTAGGTATAGTAAGCCCTAAGGGTTTAGGGCCTAGGGTTTGGGTTTAGGGTTTCCAGTTTAGGGTTAGGGTTCAAGGTACCCAAATGATAGGGTTTTAGGGCCCAAATACTATACTATTCATGGTATTTGGGCCCTGAAGCCCTGTTAGTTGGGTCCTTGGACCCTTAGGACCCAATATATCCCCATATTATACACCCGCCCCCAATATAATCCCTAATATAATCCCAATATGAATGTAGAGAAGGGAATCCTTCAGATCCACAAGAGGTGGGTGGCCTGATGTCTTGACCACATCATCGAAGGCGCGATTGCAGGATAGGCACCTTGGCTGCTTGGAGGTTCATGGGAAATAGTAATTACTTAGAACTGGGCTTTTAACCTTACTTATATAACTCCCCTAAATGACCTTATAGGGGTCACCCCAATTCTAAGTAGAGTTATAAACCAATTATAAATAGTTACTAAGTCCCATCAACCTCCAAGTACAAGAGGGCTTCCGAAGCAGGGAGCCGCAGAATAGACCCTCATGTGGAGGTTTCCCAAAATTGGGGGTTGCCTTTTTTGGGGGTTCCCATAATAAGGACGATAGTATTTTAGGTCTATATTGGGGTCTCCCTATTATGGAAAATACCATTTACAACCCTTGTTATGGGAAACGCCCCTAAATTGATAGAAATCCTAATCCTTATAGACCATGATTCTCCAGTATGAGAGTAACGTATATTCTCGCCTGGAAATCCCCACAGGAGCCCTAAACCCCAACCACCCTCTGCTTGGACCAGCACCGTGCTCCAAAATGTACGGCCTGCTCTTTGTCCTTCATCACCTCCCAAACCATCAACGGGGTTCAAAATTAGATTCCCCGGGTTGGGGTTAGGGTTTAGTGAACTATTTAGGGGTGTTCTAGGAGTTTGGGCTTCCCGTTATCCACAACTACGGCTCATAGTGCTAGGTAGGTATATTACAAAACACTGGCTTCATCTGCAATAGTAAGCATAAACGACTGTAGCAACTATAGGATATGTTAAAAACTTGGGCATTTTCCCTGACCTACAACAACCCCTAGAAACCACTATACAACACGAGATTTCAATTTTTTGCTCATGTTGTATCCATTTGATTGTCCATTCTTGGGGGGTAACATCCATAAATTTGTTTAACCCCTATACAATCCATATACAACCCTCTATATAATCCCTATATGAGATAAATGTATCCACTTAATCTTTTCTCTACCCTACACCTTAAAGCCCTAAAACCCTAAAATTCTAAAACCCTAACCCTAAAGCCTAAATCCTAAAACCCTAAAACCCTAAACCCTTAATCAGACCCTACACCTTAAAACCGAAGTCGTTGGTGGCCGGCGACAGGCCTCTTCGAAAGCACAGATCTTGTCGCTGAAATCATGGATGGACTCCTCCACCTCCCCGGTTTAGGGCTTAGGGTTTGGGGTGTAGGGTTTAGGGTTTAGGGTTTGGGGTTTGGGGTTTAGGGTTTAGGGTTTGGGTTTGGAGTTTGGGGTAGGTGTAGAATGTCTAGCTTACTGGTGGTTAGAAGGGAATAGGGGAATTATTGTATAGAATATATGGGGACTATGTTTCCTTATTCCCTACTGAGCACCACTAAATTTAGGGTTTCTGGCTTTTGCCTTGAAGGAATGAGAACACTGAGCAGTGCCTTCTCTTTGGCCCGGCGCGTTTCCCTCTCCAGGTCCATTTCCAAGGTTTCCACACGCTCCTTCGGCCGGAGGGAACCGAATATTTCAAAACTAAACCCTAAACCCTAAAACATTATCATGAAGATGCGTAAAATGAAAGAAAATATGACAAGCCTGACAGGCTCAGTGAGATGAGAAATCCGTTCCGGTAGGCTCCTCCAAGGACGTGATGAGCTCTGATGCCGCCAGATCCTGCTATGCAAGATGTGGGTTATCCTCAAATCTCAAAATTATGGGCCCCTTTTGGCTATAGATAATATTACTTCTTCTAATATCTGGAGGTACAAGAATGGGACCCAAATTTTGGGAACTACCCATGTATATACCCCCCAAAAACCGCGGATTAGCGTGTACCCGGACCCTCTTCGTTATGTAGTTCATTCCTGGGTGCGGTGTGGCTTCTTGGTTGGGATTCGTGATCAGGGTTTAGGGTACTTGGCGGGTCGTGGGGACTTAATAAGTAGGTTAATAATGGGGATAACTAGGGTTATTATGTGGGTTATAGGGGTTATTAACCTACTTACTAAGCCACCCGGACCCTCCAAGTAAGATGCCCCAAGAGGCACTACATTGGGGGGAGGATGCCTTAGAAGTGTCCCCACTTGCTTGCATGGACCCCGCCTTCTCTTCCACCGAATTGGCCTGCATCTGCAGCGATTGCTTCAAGACCTGCCAAGTCTCACGAAGGAGATTACTACTATTTCTAATACTACCAATATTACCATTTTAACCAGTATTGCCATTATTACCATTGATTACTTTTATTAATCTACTTACTACTATTGCTGTTATTATTCTTACTAGTATTACTACTATTTCTATTGTTGCTATTTACAATTAATTTCTACTATTCTTGCTATTATTACTTGCTAGCTTATGGGTGGGAAACTACCCACCTGCAAACTACCCACCAGTTATGGGCTTCTACACGACGGGAGTGTAACGTTTAAGGCATGCATACGGTCTTTTGGAATTGTAGGGATGGTCTAAGATGGGATAAGAAACTGAACGGCTTATCCGGGTACAGAATAGCCACTGGCAAAATCCCTACAATCACTTTCCCATTCCGAAATCATAAATTGGGGGTTTCCCATAATTATGGGCCTTATGGATGCCATTCTGAGGGTCCCCAAAATAAGGACGATACCATTTCGGAGTCCTAAATCGGGGTCCACGCTATTTTCGGAAACGACCAAGTAAGCTTGAGTGATTCACTCACACGCGTCCCCGCCCGGTACTTCTCCTCGCTGGAGGCAATGGCATCCTGGACCTGCGACGTCATAAACGTGTGGCTGCTTCTCAAAGTGAGAAATTTTCTAAAAAATTGGGATTACCATTTTGCAGGTACTTTTCTGTGGGTCCCCAGTACAAGGATCATAGCATATAGGTGTCTGTAGTATATTGGGGTCCCCGGACTTATGCAAACTACCAAATCAAGATCCCCCAAATCTGTAGGATCCCACCAAAAACGACGCATCATTCAACAGCTTTTCTCCAAAAGCTGAGCAGCCCAGCTCAATGCTGTCCTTCTGTGCAGAATGAAGAAAACATCTTTGGCATACGATGTTTAACTAAATTTTGGGGGGTATAATGGGGTATTTTGGGTTGTGTAGGAAGTATATGGGGACTCTACAGGGTTTCTGTAGGGATTAGATGGAGATTCATGAAGCTCGGGAAGTTACATCCCTAAACCCTAAACCCTAAACCCTAAGAGTTTTCTTACACCACTCCTCGTAACCTTCAAACCTTCGCCTGCTCAGCTTCGCAGCTTTCGCGGTGCTACTGTCTTGATGATTACCATCATTCCATAGGCTCAGGGTTTAGGGTTTAGGGCTTAGGGTTTGGGGTTTAGGGCTCTGAGTTTAGGTCCTGGAGGACTTTTTGGTATCAAGCCTCCCTCCCATCTTCCATTGCATGCTCTATGTTTGGGGCAACTCATCCAAAAACATACACAATCCCCTACATACTCCCTTTTGGATCCCTATGTAGCCCCTATATAATCCAGCCTCAGCCGTATAGAACCTATATAGAATGCCTACAGAACTCCTGTGGAATCCCTCTACAATTTCTCTATATACCCCTACATAACCCTAGACCTTAGCAGGACCCCCCGCCCTGTAATCGTGGTATAATAAGAATATAAGAGGACCCAACTATAATCCCTACTATCCCCTACAGTCACTATAGTCACTATTACAGGGTGGGGGTCCTCCTAACCTAGACCCTAAATCCTTTCAAAAGGACAGACTTTTGGTATAGCGAGGCCCTCGCCCGACCTCATCCGAAATCCTGACCAGCCGTAGGTTGAACTCCGAGTCCATACCCCGGAGGGCCTGCTGACGGTATAAAGGGCTTAGTGTTTGAGGTTTTTAGGTTTGCTGACGTTGGACAGTTGAAGGGTTTAGGGTAGAGGGTTTAGGGTATGGGATCTGGGGCAGCAGCGGGGTTTGAGGCTTTAGAGTTCAGGGTTCAGGATTCATAGGTTTCTAGGGTTCAGGGCTTAGGGTTTAAGGTCCCAATCCATTCTTGGATCCTTACGGCCTAAAGCCACATTAGGGAACGGGGCGGGGGAGGGGGGAGTATAATTGGATTACAAAAACAAATATATGGAGGTCATTTACCCGCTGACCTCCAAGCAGTCCTATGGGATCTTGCCTGCGAGATGAATTTCATCAAAAGGTTTCCGTGGTGGGACATCTACATGGCGAGGGGATTGAAGGTGTTGTCCTTCCTGAGGACAGAACGGTTTTTTGGAGAAATACACCAATCATCCACAGCTAATCTCTGGTGGATAGCTTAAAGAGCGCTTTGAAGCTTTGAATGGTTGCGCTGAGGAAGTCCTACATGAGCTCTAGTCTAAACTCCGACTATCCCCCCTGATAATTCCTAAACCCCCCCCCATATAATCCCCTTTCTAACCTCCTTTAAGGA